CTCTGCCTCCCGAGTGCTGGGATTAAAGGCGTGCGCCACCACCGCCCGGCTGACCACTGACTTCTTTACTCTTCATAGTTTTGCCTTTTCCACCACGTCAGATAGCTGGAAACCAATCACACACATCCTTTCTGGTTAGTTTCCTCTTTCTCTTAGTTGTATATATTTAAGGTATTCAACATGATGCTTTGATATACATATGAAATTATGATATTCAAGGAAACAATCATATCCATTCAACCATTCCTCCCCTCCTCCCTCTCTCTTGGTTAAGAGAAATTAAAATCTAGTCTCTTGGCAAATTTCCAATAAACTTGACATTAACAACAACCTGTACATCAGGTGTCTAGACTCTTTATCCTGCTTAACTTAGTGTCCCTCAACCAAGAACTCACCATCTCCCCCTCCCTTCCCCAATGTCCCTGGCAAACAGTTTTATTCTGTTTTTGAAACTAAACCGTTTTAGTGTCCACATGTAAGTGAGAACATGCAGTTTTTCTTTCTGCTTGGCTTATTTCACTTACCATTATCATAATGTCTTCCAGGCTCCCCTATGCTCCCAGCACTGGCTAGGAGCCTGGAAGACATTATGAGCCTGCTTTTAAAGGTTGGATGATACTCCAATACACATATAGATTATTGTTTTTCTATCTACCTAAAGACACACATGCTGTGGGATGTCTTTCTGTATGCTGTGAATATGTGTGGTTCCCACTGAATAATAAATAAAGCTGCATTGGCCTATGGCAGGGCAGGACAAGGTTAGGCGGTACATTCAAACTGAAGAGGAGACGAGAAAGGGTAGAGTCAAGGAGACACCAGCCCACCACCTAAGGAGCAACAAGATGCCAGCAGACAGGTAATGCCAAATGGGTTAATTTAAGATGAAAAATCTAGCTGGCAAGAAGCTAAATCCATAGGCCACACAGTTTGTAAATAATATAAGCCTCTGTGTGTTTACTTGGGCTGGAGTGGCTGCGGGACCGGGCAGGACACAGGAAAACTTCCAACTATACACACAGGGTATTTCTTTATTTCAGCACTGTGAATAATGCTGCAGTGAACAAGTAGCATAGGTCATCCCCACAAGGTATGGGTTTCATTTTCGATGTACACATACCTCAAGCAGAACTCTGGAGCATTTGGTTTCTTTCACCTGATAACATGCTTTTATAAATTCTCCACTACTTCAGGGCCTGGTGGTTCACTTTTTATTAGAACAAAATAATTTTCTGTTGTTTCAATGTCACAGTCTGCTTAGTCATTCATCAACTGAAGGGCATTTTGGTCACTCCCTGGCAATTATAAGTAAAATTGCTATAAACATCTATATGTAAGTTTTGTGTAGACATAAAAGTCTGGGTAAATGCCAAGAGGGGTAAACCTGGCAGACCCTGTAGTACAAGTATAGCTTTGTAAGAATAAATAACAACAAAAACTGTATTCCAGGGTGGCTGGGAAGGCAGTTCTTGTTCCTCCCAGCGTCTGTTGTGACACTGCTCTGAATCTGTCACCTGATATCCTTACGAAGGCATCTCACTGCTGTTTCTGTGTTCTTTTTGTGGTTGTTTTTGCATGAATCTTTCTCTGAATGGTCTTGTACTACTTGGCTGTCCCTTGACACACTGTAAGGTACTGAGAGGATAAACGGAAGCTCTGGCTTACTGAGCGACCGGCTTAATCACACAACAGTCCCACAGGAAGAAGCCATGCTTTTCTTGAAAGGTGCCCCCGTTAGCTGCAGCTTGAGGCATTTGATTTTGGGCAGAAGAAATTCTGTATGAAGCACTCCTCTAATCCCTGATGAGAGCAGATTCCCGTGCCAGCATCTAGAACTGTTAGTGGGACTCGTCCTTGGCTTGCCGACTTTCACTTACATTCTGCCTTCAGAAAGATGACTCAGGGTCAAGTGCAGGATTCTTTTTACTTCCTCCAGAAAACAAGCCTCAAGGTTTGCATGGGAAATGCAAAGGGAAATGGCAGCAGACTGTGCACTGCGAGATCAGCTCCTCTAAACAACCAATTGGCTGTACATCCCTGGGGAAGCACGTCATCTCTTGAGGTCTCACTTTGCCAGTCTTTGGCACATATGACAAAATCTACCTCATGCAGTTGTCAGAAGGTTACACGTATAAATCTCTTCAGACACTGCTGAGCACAGTCAATATAACAAATGCTGTTCTTTAAGAGGCTTGAGTGTTCACGGCAGGTAAGAAAGTAAAGGGAACTGGGCATGGTGGGGCATGCCGCTAATGCCAACACTTAGGAGGGAGAGGCAGGTGGAACTCTGTCAATTTGAGGTCAGCCAGGGCTACACAAGGAGTTCCAGGCCAGTCTGGAGAGAAGGCTCAGCCCTTAGGAGCACTGGCTGCTCTTCCAGAGGTCCTGAGTTCAGTTCCCATCAATTGCATGGTAGCTCATGACCAAATGCCCTCTTGTGTGCAGACATACACAACAAAGCACCAATATACATACTTTTCTACACAAATGAAATAAATCTTAAAAAGAAAAGGAAGTTACAGGCCAGCCAGGCTACTGGGGTACTTTGAATGAAAATGATGTCCCCATAGGCTCATATATTTGAATATTTGGTCTCCAGTTGGTGAAACTGTTTGGAAAAGATCAGGAGGTGTGGCCTTGTTGGAGGTGTGTCACTGGGGGTCACTAGGGGTGACCAAAGCTCAGACCAGGCGCATTCTAGCTGTTTTTTCTGCCTGTTGCCTGCAGATCAGCCACTGTTCCAGCACCATGCCTGCCTGCCTCCTGCTGTCATGCTTCCCACCATGATGACCTGGGTTTTGGGAGTCGGGGGAACAGTAAAAGATAAGATCAGAAAATAGACGGTGAACACACGGGGTCTGGGGAACGAAAGATAAATGAGACTCCTGAAATAACTGACATCATTGAGATAAGTATTATAATACCATTAAACCACTGGCTTTGAATGCACGCCATGGTGATAATGTAGTGTGCAGTGCGGGTGAGGAGCCAGCAACAGTACAGTGCTCCAGAACACTCATTCCCTCCTGATAGTGATGTGGAGGCCGGGGTGGGGTGGGGGGTTGGGGGGTGGAGGGATGGGGGATGGGACGGGGACTGTTCTAACCCCAGAGCATAAACCATGTTTTCACAGGATGACCAGCAGCCACCTGCTTCTGAGATTACATCATCTGTAAGACCTCACAGTCCTTTGGGATTATGTCTCAGTGAGAACTCAGCATTCACCACGGATCTGACGTCTTAGATTCATGACTTTGTTTGATTCTAGGAAGGAAGTGTTGCCCAGACCATTTCATAGTCAACACACTAAGGTTGGTGGCATATGGCACCTTGACATGTCACCTCAGGTCCCAAGAGAAGTCCTGACAGATCGCAACCCTGATTAAAATTTCAAGTAAGAGAGTTTCATGTGAAAAGACCCGTTCCTTTTATAAACATGAAATTTCCTCTTTGTCCTTCAACTCTAGGCAAGAAAAGGAAGACATTACCTTTTATAAAGACTTAAAATAACTCTTTTCTGACTCCAACTTGAACACAGCACCCTTTACAACAGTCAACCAAGAGGCGATTAAGCACTCGCTCCTCTCCAGTCTACGTGAGTACATTGTGAAGGAGCCTACCTGGACTGAGAGCTTTACAGAGACTGAGGAATCGATCAGCGGACACAGGGGCAGCAGGTGAGTGGAGAGCCATGAGAAGTTAGTTACCGGACCCAAGCCAGCTACAAAAGGAAAAGAGAAGGAAAGGGAGAGAGAAACAGACAAGTTTTCACTGTGTGCCCCAGAGTTAAAGAATGGGTGTCAGAAATGTAAGGTTAAATGGTGCAAAGAATAAAATTAATATTACTTTTTAAAATTCCACAAATTTAAATACTACTCCCAAATAACTAAAATAAAACTGACTGCCACACACAGTTGACTAAAATCTTAATCCTTTAATAGCATTTATCAAAAGAATGTATTACAATGTTAGAAGAACTATCCTAATTTAAAGAACTTTTCATGCAAAGAAGCTAAACTGATATTCCTGGCAGGATTTACAAATGCTACTTGAAGGGATTATTCCTGAATTCAGGATGCTGCTGTAACAGCTTGCTACCTTAAACCATCTTTTGAGTTTTTTTTTTTATCTGCCTGCACATTCACCCTGAGGGCAGAGGCATGAATCAGAAAGCCTGATGGTCAAAGCCATCCAACCACTGGTATGAGTTGCAGCTCGGAGCTGTGAATCCTAAGTGGTTTTGCGTAAGAATCACCTAGTTGATATGTTACAAAATCTGTTCATTAAAAAAAAAAAATAGGAATTTCTGATGTATAAACAAGGGAAATAAAATAGAATGGTGGTTTTAGAACTCTGTTCAAGAGTCTTAAAATTCTCAAAAATTCCCTTTAGGGTTCTCATTTGTTTGAGCCTAAAATAATCCCACTTAAAACCTCTATTTTGTACATGTAGTTGCTTCTGTAAGTCTGAAAGCCACAAGACCAGTGAGAGCAAATCGAGCTTGGCCATGCAGAGAGAGATAAAGCTTGTGTCAAACTTCAACACAAATCTAATGCAAAGATAAGAGAGAGAGAGGTGATACAAACACCAGCTTTCATCCTCAGCTCAAGAAATCAAAACCGATCACCACACTGTTAATGACATATGCTCACTGGAAATTAGATTCTTCGAGGTATGTGTCATGCTGGAGTTCCAAATGGGGTCTTGTTTGTGCTTGCTAAATATATATGCTACCACTGAGCTGCACCTTCGCCCTCAGACTTCAGATCCGAGACATTCACTTCTGCACATACAAACTCAAGAGACCGGGTGGAGTGAGAGCATCGTGTGTTACTCACCTGTCTGAATGCACATGCTAAGCAGCAGGTGGACTGAATAAGAGGCCAGGAACGCAACTAACAGCAGCAAGAAACTGAAATATAGATCACACAGTTAAGTTTTCCCCAAACTTGCTCTTTTTCATGACATCTCATCACAGATTTCTTCACAGTCAAACGGTCATAGGGAATAGCTCTGAGTAGTAGAAGAACTACAGATATTAAAGAAACGATCGCTCTGTATTTTACCGAGGTGCAGGTAAATGAAAATACAGTGCTTTGAAAATTAAAGGAGAAATCAAAAGGAACAAGCGTTCCTTGAAACACAAATTCCTCATTTGCACTGTCTGCTGACTGCCAGCTCAGCTTCCAGTGATCTACACGTTCCCTTTAATGACGCATTTTCCCTGGTCAAAGCCTCCCTGTCTTCCTTGTGCCCTATCTCCCGAACGCCCTCCCCTTCCAGTGATGTGGACCCATTAACCAGCCATAGCTTTACCAGGATCACACGGCAGCACTTCTTAGGCTCTGTGGAACACACACCTCTTCCAGCTCAAACCCAAACAATGCAATTAACACCTTTCTAATGACATAATTTAAAAACCTGTGTCAACGCTGTGGAAATAAACAGCAGCATAAATGATTCCTCTCATTCCCAGGGAGATCCCAGCAGGACAGGCTTCTAGCTAGGCTGCTGTCCCCAGTGTACCACACAGAACTTAAGTGAAATCCTCTCTGTGACTCATGTAATACTTATTAGTAAACAGCAAGCAGTCACTGAACTGGCATCGGGGACCTCACAAATTAACATCTGACAACCGCCAAAGGGACCTCTGATTTGACACAGTGAGACCACTGTCAGCGCTGTCCACCTGCATCTAAGACTCGTGATATAAAAGAGGAAGTTCTCAGAGAGCTTTAAAAGAAGAGGCTCTCTGATTCTGAGTTGCCTGACATGTCCCATGCAGTCTTTAGAATTGTCAAAGCGTGTGAACGCATCCCACAACAAAACCAAAGCAGGCTACTTAAAAGCCGCTTTGCTTATCAAGAAAGGAGGGGAGAAGGGAGGAAAGGGAAATGAGACGTTGGCTTCTACTGACAAACGAGCCAAAGGAACCTGGTGCTGGATGCTCGGTATGAGGTCTGGTTCCGGAAGATCCCACAGCTCCGGGCCGACAGGAACTCGCAGAACCCAAACCAGCAGGTGACAGTGAAACCACGACTATACAAAGCACCACGTGATCAACAGCCAGAAACTATCGGGCTAGCTGGCTGGGGCGCTTGGCAAGAGAATGGCCCCCAGAGGCTCCTGGCCAGCCCTGGGTGCTTGGTCAGCAGTTGGTGACCAAATCAGGAAGGATTGGGAGGTGTGTCCTGTCCCGTGCCTCTGGCCTGTGGATCAGGGTGAAAGCTCTCAGCTACTGCTCCAGTGCCACGCCTGCCCGCCCGCCAGCCCGCCCACCTGCCTGCCCGCCTGCAGCCAGCCACACTCCCCAGCATGGCGATGGTGGACTCACCCTCGGACACTGTAAGCAAGGCCCCAGTAACTGCTTTCTTTTATAAGCTGCCTTGGGCACGGTGTCTGGTCACAGCCATAGAACAGTACGAAGACACTGGCCCACAATCAACTCTTGAAAATAGCCACAGAACGGCTACTAACTTGCATGGATGGCTGACAAGTTTTGATTCACAATGGACAACCTGACATACATTGACTTGAATAAGAGGCTTTTTAAAAAAATTATAAATGAGTGTAAATCAAGTAATCAAGTGGTTTTTGTTTTGTTTTGTTTAAAAAAAAAAAAACAATCTTAGCCACATTTTTAGATTAGTAAAAATCAACACCAGTCCTGTACTGTATAATGATGTCTGGGTTACCAATGAGGTCTTAGTGATACCATGGCTGTTTTCATGTCATAGCGCAACATATTACTCACGGTCATGTTGAAGCTGGGGAAAACACACTACTATACTGCCAATCACACAAAGTGTAGTACATGCTTTTACATCTGGTATAGATTATTCACCAAGAATAAATAATCAAATCATTGGTTTATGTATTTATTATATTACTATACTGTATTTTTTAAATCATGATTTTCAAGTACACTTTTATTGTCATTTCTGTTGGTTGGTTGGTTTTTTGAGGCAGGGTTTCACGTAGCTTAGGCTGGTCTTGAACTTATGTGGCTGAGGAAGACCCTGAATTCCTGATCTTCTTGTATCTACCTTCCAACTACCACAATTACAGGTGCGAAGCATGTTCTTTCTTGTTATGGAAGGATGTTAACCGTAATGCAGTCTCTGACCAATCCTCCAGGTGCTTCAGAAAAGGCCTGTTGGGCATTAGCTTCAGCTGTATATTGCCCTGAAGACCTCCCAGGGGAATAGGATGGAATGATGTTGGTGATCCTGGCTCTCAGGTAGGGAGTGTGTTTGTGTCTTAGTTTTAAAGAAAAAAGTTTAAAAAGTAAATTACTGGGGCTGGAGAGATGGCTCACAGGTTAAGAGCACCGACTGCTCTTCCAGAGGTCCTGAGTTCAATTCCCAGCAACCACATGGTGGCTCACATCCATCTGTAATGAAATCTGGTGCCCTCTTCTGTATACATAATAAATAAATAAATCTTTAAAAAAAAAGTAAATTACTAAAATAAAAGTAGATTAAACTTTTAAAAACCTTGTAGAATAAGGACATAAAGAAAGGAAGGTTTCATATGGTAAATGACATGCTTGTATTTTAAGCTGTTATAGCAAGAATCAAAAAGTTAAAAACAAAACAAAAGACCCTTAAAACTAGTCCCCAGGCAGGCAGTGGGGCTTTAATCCCAGCACTTAGGGAGGCAGAAGCAGGAGGATCTCTGTGGTTCAAGGCCAGCCTGGTCTACAAAGTAACTTCCAGGTCAGCCAGGGCTACACAGAGAAACCCTATCTCAAAAAAAAAAAAAAGAAAAGAAAAAGAAAAAGAGAAAAACAAACAAACAAACGATAGTCCTCCAACCTCTTCTCCCAGTCATGTCCTATTCAGGAACATCACTTTTCTTTCACTAAATCCCTTGCATGTTTAGATGCACAAAGACCATTATGCTACAACTGCTTTACTGCACTAACAATAGAATGCATTACACTACATGATCTTTAGCCTAGGAGCAACAGGCTGCACCATATAGCGTAGATGTGTGAGTGGCCTTGCCACCTACGTTTGTTCGAGTACACTCTATATGGATCACCCAACAATGAATCAGGCCAGTGCTGCACTTCAGAACTGTTAGCCATGTCTTCTCCATTTGGTTCAGCAATGACAATTGCCAAAGTAAAGTCATTCGGGCCATAGTAACTAAAGTAACTTGTTTCTCTAGATTCTCACCCTCTGTGCCCTATGGACTCTAGTAATGAGTGACCAGGAAAAGATGCTTATCTATCACGTGACATCCTTACCACTCATCTTACTCCCCTAGCTACCCCTGGCAACCACCTGCTAAAAAGGGAAAAATTACAGTGGCCTTCCTCCTTCCCTTTTTGTGCCCTGTAACTAACTACCCCAGCCTGTAAGGCAACAGGCTCAGATTCTTACACCAGAGGTCCGTCGCTCCCCGCCCCTTGCAGGTCCTTTTCCAACTAAAGCCCATGCTGTCTGAAGAGTCCCTGATTCCTTCTTGATGGTCTTACAAGAGCACACATCCCTCAAGCAGTGCCTGATGGTGGCATGCAGCATTCCTCCAAACCACAGATTAGTGAGGCACAGGGGTGACAAAGCAATGCTAAAACCTCAGCAATCATCCGCCTGGAAATTGTAGACCAGTAACTTCTGGAACCGCAATTCTTTATCAAAATGAAAAAGTGATGATAAAAGACGAAAACAGGCCTCACCTAAATCCAAGGATACCGGTATTAGCCATCACATAAGCTAATCCAAGGATGCCACTTCCCATGATGGCGTTCATCACATTAAAGACTGAGAAACCAAAGGAAACCCCCGGAGATCGCTGTCTGTGAGGTTCCTGTAGACACACAATTTAGCCACTTTAAATGTCCAAATGAGGAATTTAAAAAATCTGTGGAAACATCACTGTCAAATTATGGAGGCGATCTACAAACCTGAGGATTTGTGTGGGCAACACTAACTACATCACCAGGACAGGGTTAGGGCTTCTGTCCATATAACACAAGCTAGAGTCATCTGAGAAGAGGAAACCCCAGTTGAGAGAATACCCTCAAACCAGCCTGGGGGGGGGGGACATTTTCCTGACTGACATGGAAGGGCACAGCCCACTTTGGGTGTTGCCATCCCTGGGCAGGCCCTCCTGCCTGAAAGAAAGCAAGCTGAACAAGCCAGAAGGGGCAAGCCAAAAAGCAGTGTTCCTCCACGGCCTCTGCTTCCAAGTTCCTGCCCTGACTTCCCTTCATGATGGACTATAGCTGTAAGATAAATAAACCCTTTCCTCCCCAAGTTGCTTTTTGTCACAGGCTTTATTTATCACAGCACCAGAAAGCAAATTCGGACACAGCACTTGTTCCTTTCCTTTTGACCTATTGGTGTAACTCGAGGAACCTGGTCTTTCAGAAAAAGACCTCCCAGGGCCCAGGCTGGCCTCAGTAGGAGCCATGGCCTCTCTTGTGACTTCAAGGGATCAAGATAAGGTAAACAAAGGGTGGAGACTGAGAGAAGGAAGAGGCCTCAGCTCACGTGATTCCTGTTGAATCCCTGTGTCAGCATGGAACTGTTGCCCATAACTGTTCCTTCCCAAGTACTAGGGCTGCAAAACTAACCTTTTATTTATATACCTCATGAATTAAGTCTGCCCAGCAAGGACGATCAGGAATACCTTACAGGGACAACAGAAGCAAAACTGTCGACTGTTACTGTATAAGGATTCAGTTCAAGTGGAGTCCCAGGACTGGAAAGCAGTCCTGGGTTAGGGCGCTTGTCAAGCATGCCCAAGGTCCTGGGCCGGATATTGGGCACCGAAGAGGGGGCGGGGGCCCTGGGGTTCACACAGCCTACTACACCGGCTTTAGGTTAAGGACGAGCTGTGTGCGTACAGATCCCTCCCCTCGTCTTCACTTACAGGGACATCTGTAATATAAAGTGCCTAGAGCTCACGTTTCCCTTCGCCCCATGATTAAGTCCAAAAAAAAAATTATCTCAGGATTCTTGCAAAGACCTCCCAAGACTAGAGGAAATTGAAAGGCGACAAAGATACAAAACAACTGTGAGTCACAAAACCCTGACTCTCATCCCGCCGGGCCGGTGTCCCAAGCCCCACTCTGGACTGAGCGCGCCAAGCGACGGCCACATTCCAAACTCGGCTGGGGTCAGTGGTCCGAGTCCCACCCCGGGGTCGGTCCCCTCACGTCCGGAGAACTCTTCTAGCAAGCGCTGGGAGGATGCTGCCGCGCCAGCAGCCCCGCGCTGTGAGCCGAGCCCACTTACGTTGCTTAGCAACGGGCTCCACTCTTCCGCAGCCGCCGCCTCCTCCTCCTCCGGCTGCTGGGCAGAGACGTACCAGCCCGGCTCGGCTGGGTGGCTGCCCTGCGACGCCTGCATGCTGCTCCGCGGCCGACGACCCAGTCCATCAGCGAGCCTCTGGCCCGGCCCCACGCGCCCGGTGGAGCCGCGTCAGGGGCGGAGCTACGGGCCTGGCCCTTCCGGGTTCCCGTACCTCATCCGCGGCCAGGAAGAGCGGAGCGAGTCCACCAGAGCTGACTCTACGCGCCCTCGGCGGCCAACAGTGATGACGTCGCCGAGGCCACGCCCACCCGCCGGAGACCCATTTCCGATCTGCACCCGAGCATGAGGTGAGGGTTCTGGTCTTGGTCCGCCCTCCGGGACTTGGGGAGGGGCGCCCGGGGAAGGGGTTGCAAGTGTCCCGGGTGAGGAGAAAGATCTGACGGTCCGGCGGCTGCAGCCGGTGAGGATTGGGGTGTAAGCTCGGTGGTTTGAACGATTGCCTAGCATGAGTATTGCCCAGGATTAGATTGCCAGGACCACGAAAATCTTTTCATGGTTTTTAATCCACGTTTTACAAATAATAAATGGACACCTAGAATTACTGAGTTTCCGTATAGTTCATTAAATACTAGTATAACTCTCAACTTCATTGCGTTATAGTCTAGTGGCCTGTGACAGGATCCTTTACCACTTGGTGTTTTAAAAGATGAAATGAATAGCTAATACTGTGCTTCAGACACACAGTCAAGCCTCGTCCACCAGAATACGGAAGCCAAGGCACTTCAGGCAAGGCCCATGGCAATAGCGTATGCATGGCATCCTAGCAATATACTAAGGCCACGTGGGAGGGGAGAGGATCTCGTTTATCCAGGCTGGCCTGGAGGATGAATTTCTGATTCTCCTGCCTTGCCTGCTCTTCTGAGTGGGGTGTTGGACTCAGAGACCTGCACCGCCGTACCCATTATGCAGTGCTGAAAGCCCATGGATTTGTGTGTGCATGCCAGGCAAAGCACTCTTCCGGCTGACCTATATCTTCAGTCCTTAAGGTCATTCTTAACCAAGGTTTTTGTCTTCTGAGATTGGTCTGAAATGCATCTCAGGCTGGTCCTGAACTTTTAACCCTCCTGTCTCCCTATTGCTGAGATTACAGACAGGTGCCACTGTGGCTGATATAAGTGATGCTCGAGAAAGACCTCTAAGGCTTCAGGCATGCTAGACGAGCTACTTTTTAGGCCTTGCTGAACCACTTACCAGCTACACAACTTTGGGTGATTAACTTACTCCTTAGCTTACAAAGTTCATCATAAAGCTTCTGATACAAAAGCCTGTAAGAATATCCTAGAAATATGGCCATTGGTGGCATCTTATCTAGTAACCATTTCATTTGGAGATCCCCCTTAACTCAGATTTCACACTTCCAATTCTCTGTGTGTTCTGTGGAAAATTGTCATTGAATACGGGGAGGCGGCTGGACTGCTAATCCGTCTGTTAGAAGGGCAAGCAGACTGAAGATGCAAATTCATTGTTTAACCGGTGACAAAAATCATACTGTCCTGCAAGAGAGACTGTCCCCCCATGCCTTTCAGACTTTCAGTCAGCACTCAGCAGGTGATTTAAAAGAGTCTTATTTTCATTCTCAAGCCGTTGTGAATGGACTCCTATGTAGTTTGATGGTGTTTTTGAATCTTTTTCCTAGAATCTTATGGAAGCCATTGGGATTCTCAAGAAGACTTCTGCAAGTAGAATGGTGCCGCCCCAGTGAATCTGTATCTTTGTCCGCAATCACAAGGACGCTGGTACCAAGGCTTAGGAAAGCACCTAGTGTTTTTTGGTTGGGTCAGAGACAAAGATTCTCAACCATGCCAGAAACAGAAGCAAGTATGAGAGATCCTGAGTTATTTTCACCACCCTCTGGTGTTCGAGGAATGACAGAACTGGATAGGACAGCTTTTAAAAAGACAGTGTCCGTCCCAGTGCTCAAAGTGGGGAAAGAGGTCGTCAACAGATTGATGCGCGCCCTCAAGAGAGTAGCCCTGCAGCGCCCGGGCATAAAGCGTGTCGTTGAAGATCCCGAAGATGAGGACAGTAGACTCATTATGTTGGATCCCTTCAAAATGCTTTCTGTTGAGTCCTTTGAGAAAGCAGAACTCAGTGCTTTAGAAGAACTCAATGTCAGTCCACAGTTATCCGAATACAATTTGGAACTAACTTATGAAAACTTTAAGTCAGAAGAAATTTTGAGAGCTGTGCTTCCAGAAGGTCAAGACGTGACCTCAGGTTTCAGCAGGGTTGGGCACATCGCACACCTGAATCTCCGAGACCATCAGCTGCCGTTCAAGCATTTAATTGGTAGGTGTATTATAGTCAGATTCATGTTCTAGAAAAAAAGAATGACTGATTCTAACGTTAGTGCTTCAATTTTTACTTTAAAATGCTAACTTAGAGAAGCAGGGTAGTTTAGTTTTAATCTGAAGCCAAACCGTAAGCACCATCCCTGTTTTTGAAGAGCCTTTTGGAATATCTTCTCTCTAATCACAGGATTGGCATAGACTTTGGGTCTCCCAACACACACACACAAAAGCTGTGCTCTGTATTGAACATAATTCTTTCAGTTCAAAAAGCCATTAGACCTCTGGGACAATGTTCAATACTAGGTTTCAAAAATGGCGGTGTTTAATTTTAATTAGAGTCAGATATACAGTGCCGTTCATTTATTGATTTAGCTAATTACGCCTCTTCTTTATGTTAGTCACTTTAAGACATTTTAAGTGTCCCTAGCTGTTTAGAAACTGTAATGAACACCCCACTGTTGTAGCTCCACGGAGACCCAAGGCCTTTACTCTTTAGATGGAAGACTAGTCAAAATCATTTTATATAAATACTCGGTGTCTATGCATCCTGTGGATTACTGCTCTAATACAATAATTTTCAAAACTTGTGGGAATTACTCGCAGTAGTCAGTGTTCTGCATGGCTGGGATTTGATAATGGCATTGCGATTCTCTGGCTTTTTTTTTTTTTTTCAGAGCCGAGGACCAAACCCAGGGCCTAAATCCCCAACCCCTCCGCTTCTCTGTTTTTATCAACAAAGACACTGATCCTGCACAGCAGTGGCCCTGAGAGTGGGGATTAGTGCAATGTCAGATGTGGGCGTTCATTCAGTGCCTGCCTACCCTAACTCAAAACGTCCTTTGGTCATGCTTGTTTTTTAATTTTTCATACAGTGCTCAAGGGTTAAAAATAAAACACTTCGGACTGGCGATACAGCTCTGTGGGCTTACCAAATAAGTGCAAAGCTCTAAGTTTTTGTTATGGAGTTGTAGAATTGCTTTTAATGTTTTAAAATTTCATTTAATTTAACTTTTATATCTTGAAAGTTGGTGGAAGGCTGGGGCTGGAGAGATGACTCCGTGGTTAAGAGCACTGACTGCTCTTCCAGAGGACCCGGGTTCAATTCCCAGCACCCACATGGCAGCTCACAACTGTCTGTAACTCCAGTTTCAGGGGGACCCAATACCCATGGCAAAACACCAATGCATATAAAATTAAAAAAAAAAAAAGAAAGAAAGTTGGTGGAAGGCAATACAGCTCTGAATATGTGGGCCGCACAAACCGGACTTGATGGGTGGGGGAAAAAGACACAAAATTGGGGGGGTAGGGAGGGGGGTGGGATGGATCCAGGAGGAGTTGGAGTTTGAAGCAGAACATGATAAGTGGGCCATTGATTCATTTTTTTTTATTGTATTCTGAATTCTGAAATTCTCATTTCATTTCAGCTAATTTATATTCAGTACATTTTACTAACTCACAGATGAAGTTCTTTCCTTATGAAATGACAGTATATAGATCTTTATAAAATTTTAATGTTGGCAAAAAGATACAGACTTAATTAAAGAGCAATAGTAAGTCATTTTTGATGTATATTTTTGTCTTTGTAGCTTCTCTGCTATGATAAATATTCGACTAAAAGAACATTTTTAATGTCGGTCAGACTCTGAAGAACCCGAGTCTCCTTGGTTGTAAACATTGCTAGCTGAAATACATTTCCAAACTGGGGCCATTTGTTTCTAACACACAGTAAAAGAAACCTTTGGTGTGAGGCCAACAGGAACAAGCATGTCTTTGCTGGCATTCCAGCGACCATTTGTTGTTCAGGGTCTTCACAGCCTCTCATTCCATCCTTTGCCAGTTTCATATTTGCTTTTATTTGACTGTGTTTAACAAAAATGTGGAAAACGATAGACCACAAGTCCTCAAAAAAAATTTTTTTAAGGTACCCATAAATTCTATATAGGCTGCAAGTTATTAACTTATCTCTTTGATTTTTTTTTTAAGAATTGTAGGTAGAATTACACATACCAAGTACAGCTTTTATTCGTAAACCAAAAGAAAATGTTGTTCATTTCTGTTAAGTATTTTTAATTTTAACTTCACAAACAACAAGCAGTATTTATAATGAATTTTCACCTTTTAGGCCAAGTTATGATTGACAAAAACCCAGGACTCACCTCGGCAGTAAATAAAACCAGCAATATTGATAATACATACCGAAATTTCCAAATGGAGGTGCTGTCTGGAGAGGAGAAAATGCTAACCAAGGTACTGCACTGTAATACCAACCCAAAGTGAACAGAAAGACTGATGCTTGGAATCAAGACAGCACGTTCACAATATGCCCCGGACAGCTCAGGGACAGAGCAGGCTGTGGAACAGTGTATGAAAAGTAGTTCTTGAAACATCTACCTGCCAGGTTATTCCTGGGCACTCTCAGGGGGCAGACACTGAAATGCCTCCAGCTCTGGCCAGAAGTGTTTGGTTTGGTCCAAAGGGGAAGGTAATATACCAATATGAAATTAGGGCCCCAGGAAACAGAGGAAAGATATAGCATATTTGTCTAAGTTAGGGACTTTCTGGTCTTTGATTCTTTGTTCATAAAATGAGGAGCTTAAAATGTCTAATTTATAGATATGAAATTCGTAAAATTTTAGTAATTGTCTAAAAACATGTATACGAATTTCTAAACAGTCTTATTAAATAAGGAACACAGAGCCAAATACAGGGGTAGTAGCCGAAGAGATCAGAGAAATAGCGAATAGCCACGACTAGCCTTAGCTTACTACCACGCTGTAGCTTGCCCAGAGAGAGCTTCTTCCTGTCTAACCTGTGCCTTTATTGCCTAGCTGTTCTGTCCTCTCATTGGCTCTAAGCCCAGCCACATCCCTTCCTCGTCACTGCCTGTCTATACAGACCTCCAGGTCTCTATGGTTGGTACTGGGATTAAAGGCATGTGTCACCATGCTTGGCTGTGTCCTTGACCACACAAAGACTCTGCTTGCCATGTGATTGGATTAAGGGCGTGTGCTACCACCACCTGACTTCTGTTTATGGCTTGCTATAACCTCTGATCTCCAGGCAAACTCTATTTATTAACATACAAATAAAATCACATTTCAGCACAATTAAAATACCACCACAAACATAGATACCTCAAATTCTAACATGTCCCTTTGCAGCCTGAGTGCTGTGGAGGGCCGCTTGCTTGCTGTGTGGAAGTGCTGTAGAAGAGGAAGGCTTCAGATGATTCATGCTGTTTTCTTTCTTCATCTGGGAACATAAGCCAGTTAGTCGGCCTCTCCGCAGCATTCCTGCCTGTGTGAACTGGAATCAACTTTATGAGTCCTTTAGGATGGGAACAGCCATTTGGCTTTGGAGAACTGACTTTTCACATGAAAAAGGTGAATGCAAGATATTAATTGGCTCCAGAAATGGTATAAACACCAGGAGTCTAACCAGAATGTTTTTAAGTGAAGTTATTTGCTCCTATGACAGTAACATGTACATGTATGTCTCATGTGTACATATGCAACCTATCCAGTTTCAGTGGGCAGACTTTAAATCCAATGAGATTAACTAAAAACATGATACCCTTCCTTTTCAGGTTCGAGAAAATAATTACACATATGAGTTTGATTTCTCCAAAGTCTATTGGAATCCTCGTCTCTCTACAGAACACGGCCGGATCACTGAACTTCTCCGCCCTGGAGACGTCTTGTTTGATGTTTTTGCTGGGGTTGGGCCTTTTGCCATACCAGCAGCAAGGAAAAACTGTACAGTATTTGCCAATGATCTCAATCCGGAGTCCCATAAATGGCTATTGCACAATTGTAAACTGAATAAAGTTGACCAGAAAGTGAAAGTCTTCAACATGGATGGAAGAGACTTCCTCCAAGGACCGGTCAGAGAAGAGTTAATGCGCCGGCTAGGACTGCCGACCGAAGCCAAACCCTCTGTCCACATTGTCATGAACTTGCCAGCAAAGGCCATAGAATTTCTCGGGGTTTTCAGGTCACTCCTAGACGGGCAGCCAAGCAGCAGTGAGCGGCTTCCCACAGTGCACTGTTACTGTTTCTCCAAAGACGCCAATCCTGCTCAGGATGTCTGTCAGCGAGCTGGAGATGTGTTAGGAGTTCCCTTGGAGGAAAGTAGTTCAGTTCACCTCGTGAGAAACGTGGCCCCTAACAAGGAAATGCTGTGCATCACCTTCCAGATTCCCGCTGCTACACTCTACAAGACCCAGGCCCTCAGTGTAGGTGAGCAAGTTCTTGAGACTGGAGTGGGGCATATCATGCCTTTAACATAGCTCATGTGTGTGTGTGTGTGTGTGTGTGTGTGTGTGTGTGTGTGTGTGTGTGTGTGTGTAAGGTTTGGAAGTGATACCTTGCCACTTAGTTGAGAATGTTTCTTCAAGTTTTAGCATGGTATGTGGTTTCGTCTAATAGGCTTGTTAAAATGATAAATCTACACCAGTGTTCTTTAAAGTGACTGAATGAAAAAAATCTTAAGAATATCTTCTTTTAAAAACATTGTATTCAACTGTTAAAAGTCCTCTAAAATGGGTTTTCTGAATTTGTTACAGAGAATCCCGAAGAGCCATCTCTTAAACGGCAGAGGACAGATGATTCCTTCTCAGAACCACAAATCACATCAGATTCTTAGTTGGAAATGCTTTCTCCATCTCCCCAGTAAATTTTTTGTAAAGGAGAACAATTTGTATGATTTTATAAACTTTAACTATCAGGTATTTGTAATTGAACCCGTATGTTTTGCTCTTATAAATGAAACATTACCAAAGTAAAATTTAACTGAAATAAGCCGAACTTGTATAGTAGACTACTTTGTTGTTGGAATTTCAGGCATGAACCACCATTATCCAGCACAGTTTTAAAATAGAATGGGGATGGGCCAGTAAGAAGGCTCAGTGAGTAGAGGTGGTCGCCGCCAAGCCTGATGACCTGAGTGTGATCCCTGGGACCCACATGGTCAACGGAGACACTCCTGGAAGTTTTCCTCCCACCTCATGTGTGCACCAAGGCACTCATGCATACACAAATGCAAAATAAATGAACAAATTAATAAATTAAAAATCTAAATTATATAATCAAGTTATTTTTATTAGATAAATGGTTTTTTAATAGTGTCTGTCCCTCGGAGAGACAGTTTTTAAAAACCGAACAACTATATTTTGCTTAACTAGGAAAGCATTTAACTACATTGTAGTTACTAGTGGAAAAACATGATTATTTTATGTAACTTCTCTACTACGGATTAACAGTATAAAAGTAATACAAAGTTAAATTATTTAGATGAGGAATAGAAAACCCACACCTTCCAGGCCACATCTGGCATAATGGTCTATGACAGGAGGATTTGCTTTATTGAAAAATAATAACATTTTGTGACATGGAACTTACATGGAATTTGAAGTTTGGGGTTTTGGTGTGCATGAACTTTGATTGGCACCTGTCCTTCCTGTTAGTTTTCACACTGTCTACAACTGCTGCCACGATAGACAGCAGAGTGGAGCAATCACAGCACAGACCTCGATGGCCATACTGCTGTTTGGCATGCTACACATCCCGGGGACATGGTTGGAACTCAGGAGACAGCATTTTGAATGCTGTGCACATAACCACGCTACACATTGTTGTTTTGGGACAAGAGTCTCGCACTCTAGCTCAGTCTGGCCCAGAATTACTGTGCAGCCCAGGTTGGACTTGAACTTACAGCAACCCTCCTGCCTCAGCCTCCCAGATGCTAGGATGACAGGTGAGTTACCATGCCCAGCTTCACAAATTTCATTCTTTTGTGAGTAGTGCCTACCCATTATATCAGGAGAAATGGACCTTGGATAGATTATGCTTTGAAGTTTCAGTGGGGTGTGGATTATTTTGATATCAGTTAGATGACAAAGCATCTATACCCTTGTCCAAAAAAAAAAAAGAAAAAGAAAAAGAAATAACAGTATGTATTATATTACTGCACCAAGTACTTGTCTCAACCTTTAAATAATTCAGAAAAATTCAAAAGCCTAAGTAAGCCAGGATAGCAAATAAAACAAAAATTAGGCTATAACTTCTAAGTCTCCAAATGACTTTTAGCCAATTAAAGAAAGCCATTTACTGTTGCTGAGTTAGTTGTGTTTGATTGTAGCAACTGAAGAACTGTATCCAGAGAAAAGAAGCATGTGTAAGAGGATTGGCCTTTGGCAAGAGCAGTTGTCGGTTAAGAACAGTGGACCAGTGTCAGTGGGCAGCTGAGAAGGTAGAGGACTCTGCCCTGGCTTTTAAGGGGCTGACAGATGTTGCTAATACTGCCCAGTTCTTTGAAGCTTTGTGACCAGGCTTGAAATAACTCAAGATTAGCCTCTGTGAGTGCTCTCTGTGTGGACCTATGAATGAAAAAGGAGCTTCGAAAACACTAATGTACAACCAAAGTAGAATTTGCTAAGTCTCTCATCAGTGACTTTTTAGAAAGCATGTGGAGCGGAGGGCTTTGCTGGACCCGTTTATAAAGCTTGTGAAAATGTTAGCAGTTTAAAGCTTATACCTGTTCACAGTGTTATTTAGCAAGTACTTTTTGAGAAAGGTTGTAGACTCTGGTACATGACTGAACCAGTTGTATCCATGGGAAACCTCATTTGTTTCATGACTAATAGTCCACCCTTTCCTTGAGTTCTGTCAGCAATTGAGGCCGAGATCTACCCTGACATGTACCACCTAATTTGTTTATAAAGAGTAGTTTGTAATTTAAAAGGATAGTTTGAATTGTGTGTGTTTGTGTGTGTACACACCTGTGTGCACTCGCCGTGGAACACTTGTGGAGATCAAAAGACAACTTCATGGAGTTGGTTTTTCTACCTTTATGTGGTTTCTGGAGATGGAACTCAAGTCATCAGGCTTTTGAGGTGAAAACCTTTACATGCTGAGCTTTATCACTGGCCCTAAAGGTTATACATTTTTAGCTTCTGACCCAATACAGATTTTTCTCAACAAGAAGAACCATCCTTAAACATTATTCAGGAATACTGAATAACCTCAGAAATGAACTTCATGAGGACTTGGGACTTGATGTCTTTGAGAGGTTCGGTATGTTGGGCTATTGTTGCAAATGCCAAGGGAATGTCTCCACATCAAACTGTTTACTGCAGTTAAGGAGCTTCCACCAGTGAAACGAGAACCCACTCATGTGCCCTGTAATGACAAATACCAGGAAAAGAATCTAATCCTCTTAAAAATGCCTTCCTACTCCTCCCAGAAGCCAGGGATTGCCAAATAAAAGGCCCAGTGCCAGGTGTGGGATACCTCCCCTTGAGTTGTTAATCAGAAGTGTGCTGGAGACCCACAAAACCTACAGGCTTTTGCTACTGCTCTTGGCTGTCCACCAGAACTTGATGGTAAGACCCTATTGCTAGAGATACCACACACTTTGGTCATAAGACATGGAGAGATCTAGCTGATACCAGGAAGCTTCCTCCTTACTGACTAGCTTTCATAGCTATACAATCTACTGTGGGTGGAGGGGGGAGAATGTCAACAGTTTTACTTAGAGGTGAACAATAAGGACCAAATTGGTAAGATGTGCCCAAAGGTATGATAGTGAACAATAAAGACCAGGTTGGTAAGATATGCCCAAAGGTATGATAGCGGCATGAATGTTATGGGGGCAACCAACTACTTTCCAATTGGTGTTAAGGCCTGCTCCACAGCAGCAAACTCATGAATAGCACTATAAATCTGGCCAAGGACCCATGGTTGGGGAGGTCATAAGTACCAAGAGTGAATCTACTATTCTGCCAAACAGACATAATATCAAACTGCATTCTAAATTCATATCTCTATATCCATAAATTAGTACAGCTCTCAGCCTTCGGCAACAAAGTTTCTTTGTATAGTGGTGATTAAGGCAGGGATTCACAACTGCTCAGCCATAGCTAGGACATCAATATCACCCCCTCACACACACAAGGCTCAGGGACCATCACTTAAGAGCCAGAGATGGGGGGAGACTAGAGGAAAACAGTGTTGTCTGCACACGATAGGACCACTGCACTCCCACGCTCAGGGCAGCGGTGGTTGCTTGCACAAGATAAAGCGAGTAAGCATTCTAAGATGGAAGAGGAAGCGTGGGCGTCCACCCCTAGCTGAGGAGCTTTTGACAGCGGGTGGCTTCTGGGTGGTTTAACAGGATGAGGTAGGTCAACCGTGCTCCGGCGCATGGCCCCACAGCTAGGAGCACATGGTGAACACAAACTGGATGTGGTGGGTTGTTACAAACAAAAGACAGGAAGTTGGGACAGGGTCGGGAGGTCAGGGGTGAGTCTAGGAAGAGAGATGTGGAGATGAATATGAACAAAATGTATTGTATGAAATTCTCAAGGAATTAATAAAAATACATTTTAAAATATCTCTCAAGTTATGAGTGTGATTGATGTTCTAATTTCTTTTCTGTTGCTATGGCAGAAAGCAGCTGTTTATTTCAGCTAATACTTTGAGACTATGGTCCATCATTGTGAGGCAGTCAAGGCAGGAACTTCAAGTAGCTAGCTGACACATCCTCAGTCAGATGCAGAGAGAAATGAATGCGTGTGTAGTTGCTTGCACTGACCCTGATCTTCCCACTGGACCCCTGCCTAGGCAAGGGTGCCGCACACACTGGGCTGGGCCTTCCCACATTAACTTGAAACAGCTCCTCCCACAGACGTGCCCACAGGCCAACCCAATATAGACAATTCAGCACTGACACTTCTTCCTAGGTGGTTTCTAGGTTGACATGAAAGCTAACAACCATCACAGCTGATATTGTATGTTCATGGACCGAGACCAATATTGGAAGGAATTTGCCTATTTAAAGATAGTTGTAAAGGTAAAGTGTATAGACCCTCATTGCAGATGATTAATCAATGTTAATTTTGATAACATGAAACAGACCTCCAATTAATGACATTATCATAAAAATTATGCTTAATTATATCTTGACTTTTATCAATAAAATTGTGGAAGGTTTTTTAATCTCATTATGAAAGTTTCACATAGTGCTCTTAGTTTGTTACTTAGCCAGAAAGGCCTGAAATATTTGCTGTGTGCACCTCTGATCTAGAACAGTCATTACAAACTTCAGAAGCCTGGCAGGCAAATGTAAATAAGAGAAGGCAGCCAATGGTAATGGTGAGAAGCATTGGAGGTAATAGGTGAACACGTGGGTAAAATGCTAAGTACATGGGAGTGTAAGTTAAAGCCCTATTTGTCTGTCGGTAAGCATTTAAATACAATCTGTTCTAAAACAACCCAAGTAACATAAACTGATATAGGTCATGAAGCACATGTGATATAGGTTATGAAGCATAAATGATATATAGGCAATCCATTCATATGTATAAAGTGGTAAGAACAGTCTCCATTTAGTTATCCTCTAACAGACAGAACATGCAATATGCTTATAAATGACAAAGATTATTTACTTGCTTTTATTAACGCTGAGCTCCTCTCCCCCTTTCATATAATCTAAGTGAACTGGTCACTTGAATCTAGGGCCACCCTAACCTTTACTGACGATTCCTAGTATATGGATTTTTTTTTTTTTTTTTTTTTTTTTTTGGTTTCTTCGAGACAGGGTTTCTCTGCGTAGCTTTGCGCCTTTCCTGGGATTCACTTGGTAGTCCAGGCTGGCCTCGAACTCACAGAGATCCGCCTGGCTCTGCCTCCCAAGTGCTGGGATTAAAGGCATGCGCCACCACTGCCCGGCTAGTATATGGATTTTTGATGAACCCAGTAGAAAATCATAGCTGGGATGCTCAGTGATGTACAATGTCTAGACTTTATTAGTATTTTGATGAGTTTTCTGTTACTTATTTGGATTTTAAAATCAGTATGTGGCACCTGTTGACAGCCTAAGACGGCTCCTGGGAGTTCTTAGATGAGAGCCTTACTGAGTCACGTGATTCAGGACCCTCACCAATGCATCTTGTGATGTGTGTGTATTGCAGACCATTGTTTTCTTAAAGCAATGCAGTTAGTAAAAGTCATTTTGTCTGTTATCTTGAGAACCCTCAGGATGTCAACAAGATCATCATTTATATCCCACAAAGAAGTTAGACACTTGCTCTGTAAAACTTCTAAAGTCGGCGGGGTAGTGGTGGCACACGCCTTTAATCCTAGCACTCAGGAGGCAGAGCCAGGCAGATCTCTGTGAGTTCGAGGCCAGCCTGGTCTACAGAGTGAGATCCAGGGCAGGCACCAAAACTACATAGAGAAACCCTGTCTTGAAACTTCGCCCTCCCCCACCCCAAAAAAAGGAAAAAAAAAAAAAAAAAACCTTCTGAAGTCTTCCTAAAGAATGATTACCTAGGCTTTAGCACAGCTGATGTTTCTAAATTTGTTACCACTAGAGCAGATCTTCTCAACCTGTGAGTCACGACCCCTTTAGGGAGTCCCATGACCCTTTCACAGGGGTCACCTAAGACCATTGGAAAACACAGATTTACATTACAATCCGTGACAGTACCAAAATTACAGTTATGAAATAGCAATGAAATAATTTTATAGTTGGGGAACATGAGGAACTGTGTTAAAGGGTCACAGCATTAGGAAGGTTGAGAACCATTGTTCTAGAGCATGCCTCCGGAGCCTTACAACTTGGGTTTGAATCTTGGCACTACAGTTTTTAAGGTGTATGCTCCTGGCAAGTTACTTTACATCTCTATCTGCTAAAAGAGAAGAGATGATAACAGGATTGTTGTAAGGATTAGAGAATACAGCCAGGCCGTGGTGGCGCACACCTTTAATCCCAGTACTCGGGAGGCAGAGGCAGGAGAATCTCTGAGTTCAAGGCCAGCCTGGTCTACACAGTGCGAGTTCCAGGACAGCCAGGGCTACATAGAGAAACCCTGTCTCACAAAACCAAACCAAAACAACAACAAAAAGAAAATACATGAAGCATGAAGCAGGGTGCGTGGGGCAAAAGCTGTCACTTGGCGATTTCTGTACTAGTGTTGCGGACAGATACTTATGCAGATGAGAGACTTGCACACTCTGCCTCTAGGAAGAAAAGAACTCGCGGGGAGGGTGAGAAGAAGTACAAGATTCAATTTAGGATATTCCCATTGCTGACTGACACACTCTTTTTCTATTTTATTTACCTAACAGCGTCAAGTAAGGATTTCTAAGGCAGATGCAAAACAAAGCTTGAAAGCCTTTGAAACGTTCATTAATTAGCTCATTACCTTTAGATACATTAATTTCTGCACCCAAGGGCAGCGAAGCCCTAACCATAGGTTCATTGTATCACTTCTTTCATCAAGTTTACAGATTGGATTTAAAAGCATGAATTCTCAATGAGCAAAAACCTAATATAAGTAATATGACATACACACTGCAGAGTGGTCTAAGATTTGGATTAAGAACTAACCTGTGGTCTAATTCTAACTTTTTACTGATTTCCATATATAATCTTGATTGTTCAATGTCTTCGTTTTCTCATTTATCAAAGATAAGAAGTGTTGTGACCACTAGCAAAGAAATGGGGTACCACAAGATGCACTGAACCGAATCCCCACTTAGTAAAATAAGATGGCACTATTACAGATGACTGTTATGCTCTAACGTCACCACAAGTCTTGATTCATTTAACTCTCCACCCATAGGATTAGCGTCTGTTGTGACAGAGATTTGCTAGACAATCCTTCAATTTCCTTGAAAAACTATGTTCCTCATCCAGGGGCCTATGGACAAACTCACACAAGGTTGGGATGCTACATGTATCCACCCTATCCACATCCAAACTCTAAGCAAAACCATGAGCACAATAAAACCCCTTGACATTTGGGTGGAAAACTACATCAGTCTACAATTTATGCAGAGAAATTTCACTTAAGTGGTGCCTTTTCCAGTCTCAACATCTCATCATAAAATGAGCTCACATTGGCAGTGAAAGGTGCCATTGATGTATTAAATTTTATTAGCTCACTTCTTTGAATCTGTCATTAAAGTGGGCTAATGCCGGGCTCTGGTTTATCCTGAGTGTGGCTCACAGCTGGGAACCATATTAGGGTGGCCTCACTCTGCACTGCACAATACAGGCCCTGAGTTTCTCAGGCCAAGGAAGCGTCATCCCAGGCAGGTTCACTTGCCACAGCCTGCTGGCAGGAGGGGATATGACCACTTGTCTGGACCACTATTGAGAAGACATTAGAAAAAAAAAAAAGAAGTTTTATAGGAAAAATATAGACTTGGATATTAACACTGAATGTTATAATAAAAAAAGGCATTTGGAAACATGTTCCAGAAAAACACTATAAGAAGAGAAAAACCACAAAATGTACCATAAAGTCAAGCTTTATTTAAAAAAATTTTTATACGTCTGTCAAGTCCATACATAGGGAAATCCTTTATTCCTTTCCTGTCAGATGAGGTTCAATGCTTCAAGCCCTCTCTGAAAAACAGAAGTAGAAAATAAAGCTCTTCCAGGAATCTAGAGGCAGCACATTTCTCAGCCTGGTTCGGACTGTAATAAACATCTGAGCACGGCAGGCAGATGTGGTGCAGCCTGGGCAGCTGGGTGCTGGGATTTTACACATCTCTTTCCTGCAAGCTCCTTGGTTTGGCTCCCAGATCCAAATCTGATAAATGAGGAAGTGCAGGTTTATCTGGGCTGCCAGAAAAGCCCACTGAATGCATCCTGCAGTGCTCTGTGACAAGCTAGAGAGGACGTGTAGCCACCAGCGAGGTCCTGTGGAGAGGCGGCTCGGACGTGGTTCAGATACCTAGGAGAAAACAAAAGGTGTAGATGGATGTGAAAAACATAGAAGAAGTTGGTGACATTTTATAAAGCAAGTCTAAAACTGACCCAAATTTTAAAAGAAATTCCGACAGTAAAATGTTCAGGCTTTTATAAACGAACATTTTAAAAGGAAACATGCCAACTGTATATACAGAGTGTCTAACTACTACTCAGCTACAGAGGACAGTGAAGTCTAAGGATGGCTCTGAAGGTTTATAACTCACATTTTGATGAAATATTAAAATGTTCACTGTTTCACAGTTTCCAGTGCTGATTCGTTTTGCTGGCTGGTGTTTAGACGGCAATGAATGCTGTCCTTTCCAGCATGCTCTTTATCAATACACATCATGACATTATTATGCTACGAACATTTTTACAAACGCGTTTTAAAGCAAACCCTTCAACACTGAAAAGAAACGGGGCAGGGGAGAGAGCACACAATAGTTCAAAATCACCTCAGTATCCCAGAAGCACATTGTCTCCTTCCTTGCAGGAAAAGAAACTTAGAAATTACATGCGCAAGAAATCTGAGAGGAGGTATAGAAGAATTGAACTGATTTCAAAAGATAGGATAACAATGTTTCTTCATTCTCAGTCTTTATACCAATGAAGAATTTCTGCCTTCATAA